TGGCTAGCTCAGGAGTGGCCGGAACTACTTGCGGAGTTATCCACGCATTTGAAAGACAAGCAGAGAGTGCGTTGCCAAAGGGCAGCGGTCATTATTGTTCTGAGAGGTCTGTTATAGAAAATAATGACCGGTAGAACGTTTTGAAATTAGATTCAAATCAATGGAGCGTTCTACTGCTGCTGTGAGGAGCTGTATAATAAAGTTATGTAAATAGTCTAATTCTGAATTCTGTGCAGTGTTTACGCTTAAAATAAACAATTACAAACTCACATCAACAGCCGTTTGACTCAAAACAAAAATCAGAATTTTAAAAAATAAAAAGTTTTGCAGTTTCCGGCTTTGCACTGATGAAACGTGGAGTGTAGTTCTGCTCGAGTCCCTGGGCTCTGGTTTGATCAAAGAGAGAAATTGTCATCATTAAAGGGCCTTAATCTGTCATCATTAAAGGGCCCTAATCTGTCATCATTAAAGGGTCCTAATCTGTCATCATTAAAGGGCCCTAATCTGTCATCATTAAAGGGTCCTAATGTGTCATCATTAAAGGGTCCTAATCTGTCATTATTAAAGGGCCCTAATCTGTCATCATTAAAGGGCCTTAATCTGTCATCATTAAAGGGCCCTAATCTGTCATCATTAAAGGGTCCTAATCTGTCATCATTAAAGGGCCCGAATCTGTCATCATTAAAGGACCCTAATCTGTCATAATTAAAGGGCCCTAATCTGTCATCATTAAAGGGCCCTAATCTGTCATCATTAAAGGGCCTTAATCTGTCATCATTAAAGGGCCCTAATCTGTCATCATTAAAGGGTCCTAATCTGTCATAATTAAAGGGCCCAAATCTGTCATCATTAAAGGACCCTAATCTGTCATAATTAAAGGGCCCTAATCTGTCATAATTAAAGGGCCCTAATCTGTCATCATTAAAGGGCCCTAATCTGTCATCATTAAAGGGCCTTAATCTGTCATCATTAAAGGGCCCTAATCTGTCATCATTAAAGGGTCCTAATCTGTCATCATTAAAGGGCCCAAATCTGTCATCATTAAAGGGCCCTAATCTGTCATCATTAAAGGGCCCTAACCTGTCATCATTAAAGGGCCCTAATCTGTCATAATTAAAGGGCCCTAATCTGTCATCATTAAAGGGCCTTAATCTGTCATCATTAAAGGGCCCTAATCTGTCATCATTAAAGGGTCCTAATGTGTCATCATTAAAGGGCCCAAATCTGTCATCATTAAAGGGCCCTAATCTGTCAACATTAAAGGGCCCTAACCTGTCATCATTAAAGGGCCCTAATCTGTCATCATTAAAGGCCCTAATCTGTTGTAATTAAAGGGCCTTAATCTGTCATTATCAAAGGGCCCTAATCGGTCATCATTAAAGTCCCTTATCTGTAGTCATTAAAGGGCCTTAATCTGTCATCATCAAAGGGCCCTAATCTGTCATTATTAAAGGGCCTTAATCTGTCATCATCAAAGGGCCCTAATCTGTCATCATTAAAGGGCCCTAATCTGTCATCATTAAAGGGTCCTAATGTGTCATCATTAAAGGGCCCTAATCTGTCATCATTAAAGGTTCCTAATCCGTCATCATTAAAGGGCCCTAATCTGTCATCATTAAAGGGCCGTCCGTGTGAACTCACCGCATGTAGCTAATCTCACTGGTAAAGTACCATGTGGTACCATGTACCATGTTTTATTATTATTAACTTGATGGTAATGGCTGATGAGCGCAGGTTACACGTCTATTTTCTCAGGAAATTAACCAAATGTGACGTATTCTAACATTTTAACCCAAAAACACATCATAAGAAGTTAAATCGTTCAATATAAAATGTGTTTAATGTCAGAATAATAAACTCATGTCACATAAAAGTCAGTTAAATCAACTCCAACTGATGCCTGCTGTCATTGTGTCCTTAGGCAAGACACTTCCCCCACATTAGAATGAGTCTGGTGTGTGTGTGAATGGTTGGTGGTGGTGGGAGGGGCCGATGGCACAGACTGGTTGCCTTGCTTCTGTCAGTGTGCCCCAGGGCAGCTGTGGCGACTTTGAGTGTCCAAAAAATCTCTATACTGTATAAAACCGATGCATTATTATTATTATTATTATTATGAATCTACATCTCCCAAACCGTTCCCGTTCTAATCCCACTCTCCGCAGAAGCCGAGCAGTAAAGGGCCCTTGGATTACATCACTCATTCTTGTTTGCTTGTTTATAAATGAGTTGATTAATGAGCTCAGGGGCCCTCGTCTGGCATCTGTTGGTGATTTACAGTAAGCACACGGCAGCTAAATGAAAGGCCGGGCTGGTAAATCTGTCTTGGGGTGACGCGCCTCTCGGGCCCCGGCGCAGCACTCGCAGCCTCCTTCAACACGTGAGTTCATTATTGGAGAGTGCTCGGTAATGACTCTTTGTGTGCTTGAACTGCCCAACTCCATTTAATAATATAAAATTGTCAGCACATTCGAGGAGCAGAGAGGAACGGTTCATGAGACGCAGAATCCCTTCAATTATGGTCCTGACCCGATAGCAGAGCGGCTAATGCACCTGCTTAGCTTAAGATGCTTCATGCTAAGACCGAAGAGAATCGTCTATGCAGTATCACAATAACAAAATACATTACCCAAATTAATACCTACTTGTGAATATCGTCACTTGCTAATTAATATAGACACTGTTTCATGGAGTTTCGAATACGCTAACACCTGTACTTTAAAACTGCAGAGGCATCCTTCGTAGATTACATAGATGCAGTATTTACATCTGACTTTGGTCTGTGAAAAAGCCACATGTGTATGAGTTATGCAGAGCTTTCCAGACTTAGGCTAGACCTTAGCTAGACTTCTGCAGGAGCGGCCTTGGACCAGACTTTAGCTAGACTCTTGCTAGACATGGGGATCTCTCTCTCTCTCTCTCATGTCTCTCTCTTTCTATCTCTCTCTGTCTCTGTCTGTTTCTCTCTTTCTCTCATGTCTCTCTCTCTCTCTTTCTCATGTCTCTCTCTCTCTCTCTCTCATGTCTCTCTCTCTCTCTCTCATGTCTCTCTCTCTCTCTCTCTCATGTCTCTCTCTCTCTCTCATGTCTCTCTCTCTCTCTCTCTCTCATGTCTCTCTCTCTCTATCTCTCTCTGTCTCTCTCTCTCTCTCTCTCTGTTTCTCTCTCTCTCTCTCATGTCTCTCTTTCTCTCTCTCTCTGTCTCTCTCTCTCTCTCTCTGTTTCTCTTTCTCATGTCTCTTTCTCTCTCTCTCTGTCTCTCTCTCTGTTTCTCTTTCTCATGTCTCTCTCTCTCTCTGTCTCTCTCTCTCTCTCTCTCTCTGTTTCTCTTTCTCATGTCTCTTTCTCTCTCTCTCTGTCTCTCTCTCTCTCTCTCTCTGTTTCTCTTTCTCATGTCTCTCTCTCTCTCTCATGTCTCTCTCTCTCTCTCTCTCCCCAGAGGTCTCCCATCACAGTACTAACCAGGTCCTACCCTGCTTAGCTTCAGAGGTCTGATGGGAGAAATAGACACACAACTCCACACCGCAGAGTTCCACCTGGACACACACAGCTCTGTCTCGTGTGCGTCCAGTGGGAAAGTTGAAAACAATTGCTTTTTGTCCCTATTCTCACGACAACAATATGATTTTGGACGACGGACACAGACGAACCGAACACTTTCTCTGTCGAACGGGATCCGCAGATTTGGATTGGACGACTCGCAGAGGCTTCGCTGCCGTTTGAGCTGCTCTGAAAAGCATCTGAGCACAATTGGTTTTTTCGATCTGCTCTCGAGCGCCGGAGACACACATCAGACCTGACTCCTTTCTGCCACAGCCACACTTCCTCATCCAGAAGTACCAGGTGGATTAGTTAGCCATGTTTATAATAATAACAACAGGTAAAGTAACTAGGGCGTTATTATCAGTGAGACTGGTCAGACTCAGCCGTTCTCGTTATAATTCTGAGAGAGGTTAAATGTGGATTGTTTTTCACAGACCCAGAGTTTGATGAGACTAGATCACACAGCGGTGACAAAAGGCATCGATTCAGCCACTTCAACTTTCAAACTAAATGCGGTATCTTCACGTCTATCTCCCAAACGCAAACAGGTTTTCATTCCAAAGCTGTATTAGAAAAGAAAAGAGTCTGGCCCCAAGCCGCTTTTCTTTCATTCTAATTCATAAAGATAATGCAGACCCATCAGCCAGACCTATTCACCATCTCTGAGACGCTCCAGACTCGCTGAAAACATTTTAAATTGGAAATCTTTACGCTCCGGAGATTGTGAGAAAAACCAACAATTTCATTCTGAGCACATCACTGGGTTTATGTGTTAGTGGTAGATACAAATAATCCTATAGTAATCCTTATAACCACAGATTTTCCAAAGCAAAAGACTGGGGGTCATATGTCGTCAATCTGCAGTTAAAGGTGTATAAGGAGGACTTTCTACTTCCGGGTGGATCATTACTGGAGGATCTTTGAGTGACGTCGAGCAGCGAAAGCTTCCCGGATGCCAGAGAGTTAGCTAGTAGTAGACGTTTTCGAAAGGGGTTTTACTAAATCATATGATCCACTCTTCAGTCGGTTGTTGGGGCCAGAAAAAGCCATACAAAAGCATTGCGTAATTCTCTTTCCGGGTACACCCCCACCGGCAAGGAGTGAGATTGCAGCATGTCAGTGCTTGTGCTCATGGACCTTTTGGAGCCGGGATCCGCCCTCAACGCCCAGAGAACAGAAATTTTGTTTCTTGTGATCTTAATTGTCTGATTATACAGAGAGGGACTGGTTTGAAGAGATCACTGCATATATATCCTTCCTTCCTTGCTTCCTTCCTTCCTTGCTTCCTTACTTCCTTGCTTCCTTACTTCCATCCTTGCTTCCTTCCTCTTTACACACAGACAGAATTCAGAATAGAGAAATGCGTCGTTTGTAAAGGGGTGAGTATGACTGTTACATTATCAAACCCAAACCTTTTAGCTCTTTGATTCAGTTCTGTGTGTGAGGATCTGCAGCGGCACGTGAGTCAGAAGGTCCACTTTAGCTCTGCGTGTGAGGATCTGCAGCGGCCCGTGAGTCAGAAGGTCCACTTTAGCTCTGTGTGTGAGGATCTGCAGCGGCCCGTGAGTCAGAAGGTCCACTTTAGCTCTGTGTGTGAGGATCTGCAGCGGCCCGTGAGTCAGAAGGTCCACTTTAGCTCTGTGTGTGAGGATCTGCAGCGGCCCGTGAGTCAGAAGGTCCACTTTAGCTCTGTGTGTGAGGATCTGCAGCGGCCCGTGAGTCAGGAGGTCCACTTTAGCTCTGTGTGAGGATCTGCAGCGGCCCGTGAGTCAGAAGGTCCACTTTAGCTCTGCGTGTGAGGATCTGCAGCGGCCCGTGAGTCAGAAGGTCCACTTTAGCTCTGTGTGTGAGGATCTGCAGCGGCCCGTGAGTCAGGAGGTCCACTTTAGCTCTGTGTGTGAGGATCTGCAGCGGCCCGTGAGTCAGAAGGTCCACTTTAGCTCTGTGTGTGAGGATCTGCAGCGGCCCGTGAGTCAGAAGGTCCACTTTAGCTCTGTGTGTGAGGATCTGCAGCGGCCCGTGAGTCAGAAGGTCCACTTTAGCTCTGTGTGTGAGGATCTGCAGCAGCCCGTGAGTCAGAAGGTCCACTTTAGCTCTGTGTGTGAGGATCTGCAGCGGCCCGTGAGTCAGAAGGTCCACTTTAGCTCTGTGTGTGAGGATCTGCAGCGGCACGTGAGTCAGGAGGTCCACTTTAGCTCTGTGTGAGGATCTGCAGCGGCCCGTGAGTCAGAAGGTCCACTTTAGCTCTGTGTGTGAGGATCTGCAGCGGCCCGTGAGTCAGAAGGTCCACTTTAGCTCTGTGTGTGAGGATCTGCAGCGGCCCGTGAGTCAGAAGGTCCACTTTAGCTCTGTGTGAGGATCTGCAGGTCCACTTTAGCTCTGTGTGTGAGGATCTGCAGCGGCCCGTGAGTCAGGAGGTCCACTTTAGCTCTGTGTGTGAGGATCTGCAGCGGCCCGTGAGTCAGAAGGTCCACTTTAGCTCTGTGTGTGAGGATCTGCAGCGGCCCGTGAGTCAGAAGGTCCACTTTAGCTCTGTGTGTGAGGATCTGCAGCGGCCCGTGAGTCAGAAGGTCCACTTTAGCTCTGTGTGTGAGGATCTGCAGCGGCCCGTGAGTCAGAAGGTCCACTTTAGCTCTGTGTGTGAGGATCTGCAGCGGCCCGTGAGTCAGGAGGTCCACTTTAGCTCTGTGTGTGAGGATCTGCAGCGGCCCGTGAGTCAGAAGGTCCACTTTAGCTCTGTGTGTGAGGATCTGCAGCGGCCCGTGAGTCAGGAGGTCCACTTTAGCTCTGTGTGTGAGGATCTGCAGCGGCCCGTGAGTCAGGAAGTCCACTTTAGCTCTGTGTGTGAGGATCTGCAGCGGCCCGTGAGTCAGAAGGTCCACTTTAGCTCTGTGTGTGAGGATCTGCAGCGGCCCGTGAGTCAGAAGGTCCACTTTAGCTCTGTGTGTGAGGATCTGCAGCGGCCCGTGAGTCAGGAGGTCCACTTTAGCTCTGTGTGTGAGGATCTGCAGCGGCCCGTGAGTCAGGAGGTCCACTTTAGCTCTGTGTGTGAAGATCTGCAGCGGCCCGTGAGTCAGAAGGTCCACTTTAGCTCTGTGTGTGAGGATCTGCAGCGGCCCGTGAGTCAGAAGGTCCACTTTAGCTCTGTGTGTGAGGATCTGCAGCGGCCCGTGAGTCAGAAGGTCCACTTTAGCTCTGTGTGTGAGGATCTGCAGCGGCCCGTGAGTCAGAAGGTCCACCTTAGCTCTGTGTGTGAGGATCTGCAGATCCACTTTAGCTCTGTGTGTGAGGATCTGCAGCGGCCCGTGAGTCAGGAGGTCCACTTTAGCTCTGTGTGTGAGGATCTGCAGCGGCCCGTGAGTCAGGAGGTCCACTTTAGCTCTGTGTGTGAGGATCTGCAGCGGCCCGTGAGTCAGAAGGTCCACTTTAGCTCTGTGTGTGAGGATCTGCAGCGGCCCGTGAGTCAGGAGGTCCACTTTAGCTCTGTGTGTGAGGATCTGCAGCGGCCCGTGAGTCAGGAGGTCCACTTTAGCTCTGTGTGTGAGGATCTGCAGCGGCCCGTGAGTCAGGAGGTCCACTTTAGCTCTGTGTTAAAAAGCATGGAATTAATTTCCACTGCTATGCAGATGACACACAGCTTTATCTGTCGATGAAGCCTAATCAGACAGATCAGCTAGAAAAGCTCAGTGCCTGCATAAAGGACCTTAAAATGTGGATGACTCTTAACTTCCTACTTCTCAACCCGGAGAAGACAGAAGTGATCCTACTCGGTCCGAAGCGCCTGCGTGACTCCCTCACTAACCAGATGGTTACTCTCGATAATGTCAGTATTATACCCAGTAACACTGTGAGGAATCTTGGAGTCATTTTTGACCAAGAACTCTCCTTCAAGGCTTATATAAGCCAAGCAACTAAAACGGCGTACTTCCACTTACGGAACATCGCTAAAATTAGGAATTTCCTTCCTAAAAGTGACGCGGAAAAACTCATTCACGCGTTTGTCACCTCAAGGCTCGACTACTGTAACGCTTTACTGGCAGCGTGCCCTAAAGCCTCTTTGAAGAGCTTCCAGCTCGTTCAGAATACAGCAGCTAGGATCTTAACAGGTACCAAAAGGAGGGAGCACATAACTCCGGTGTTAAAATCACTCCACTGGCTCCCTGTGGAGTACAGAATAAAGTTTAAAATCCTACTCTTAACATATAAAGCCATAAATGGCTTGGCTCCTTCTTATCTCCAAGACACGTTAGTGTCGTATCAACCAGGTCGAGCGTTGCGCTCACAAAACGCCAGACGTCTGGTGGTCCCTAAGGTCTCAAAGGTCACTGTTGGTGGCAGAGCATTTAGCTACCAAGCTCCTTTACTGTGGAATCAGCTTCCCATTTATGTTAAGGAAGCAGATACGGTCTCCACATTCAAGGCCAGGCTTAAAGCACTTTACTTTAATTTAGCATATAATTAGGTAATATATAATATGTAGTGTATATATTATATATATATATGCTGTATTATGTTATATATTATGTTATATATTATTCAATAATGTATTGTGTTATGTTGTATATTATGTTATATATTATGCTGTATGTTATTCTTTATTCAAGGCTAGGTTTAAAACAGTCCTCTTTAGTTTAGCATATGGCTAGGAAGGTAAGACTCGGAGAAGGTTAAACTCCTCAGAGTGTTAGTCAAGCTGCATAGGGAGTCAGTTTGCTGGGAGAAGTATGGTAACTTGAGCACTATCCTCTCCTCCTTCCTACTTTATCTGTTTAGCATTTTTAGGATTCTGACTGTAGTTTGTTCATTGCTATTCACCCGTTGTCCCATTGTCTGTTTCATGGTACGATGACGGGATCTCTGAGCCTGGCCTCTTCCATCTACACCTGCGGACTGCCCCGCCCGACCCGCCTGGGAGTGCTTCAGTCCTGCACCGGACCTGTCCACGTTCAGCGTCCACTGGTCCACGTCCTGTAGCTAGCTTAGGTCCTGGATCATTAGTCTGTCCGTCCGGAGGAGCGGATCCCTTTCTCATATGGGTCTCCCTCCCTGTGGGTTTCCCTAGTTCTCCTCCAAGGTTTCTCACTTTTTCCCACTGGGTTTTTTAAGAGTTGTTCCTTGTCGATGCAGGAGGGTCTTGTTGGACAGTTAGTGTCCAACAGAAAGGATTGGTGATGATCAGGACACTTTAGCATTCTACAACATGTATGGACATTTTCTTCTGTGTGTGCTTTATATTCTTCATGTGTTTTAACTGTTGATTCTCTGACCTGTGTTGGTGATTTCAATGGTTTTGTTAAGTCTCTGAGATGACTTCTGTTGTGACCTAGGGCTATACAAGAATAAATTGTATTGTATTGTATTGTATTGTGTGTGAGGATCTGCAGCGGCCCGTGAGTCAGGAGGTCCACTTTAGCTCTGTGTGTGAGGATCTGCAGCGGCCCGTGAGTCAGGAGGTCCACTTTAGCTCTGTGTGTGAGGATCTGCAGCGGCCCGTGAGTCAGGAGGTCCACTTTAGCTCTGTGTGTGAGGATCTGCAGCGGCCCGTGAGTCAGGAGGTCCACTTTAGCTCTGTGTGTGAGGATCTGCAGCGGCCCGTGAGTCAGGAGGTCCACTTTAGCTCTGTGTGTGAGGATCTGCAGCGGCCCGTGAGTCAGGAGGTCCACTTTAGCTCTGTGTGTGAGGATCTGCAGCGGCCCGTGAGTCAGGAGGTCCACTTTAGCTCTGTGTGTGAGGATCTGTAGCGGCCCGTGAGTCAGGAGGTCCACTTTAGCTCTGTGTGTGAGGATCTGCAGCGGCCCGTGAGTCAGAAGGTCCACTTTAGCTCTGTGTGTGAGGATCTGCAGCGGCCCGTGAGTCAGGATGTCCACTTTAGCTCTGTGTGTGAGGATCTGCAGCGGCCCGTGAGTCAGGAGGTCCACTTTAGCTCTGTGTGTGAGGATCTGTAGCGGCCCGTGAGTCAGGAGGTCCACTTTAGCTCTGTGTGTGAGGATCTGCAGCGGCCCGTGAGTCAGAAGGTCCACTTTAGCTCTGTGTGTGAGGATCTGCAGCGGCCCGTGAGTCAGAAGGTCCACTTTAGCTCTGTGTGTGAGGATCTGCAGCGGCCCGTGAGTCAGGAGGTCCACTTTAGCTCTGTGTGTGAGGATCTGCAGCGGCCCGTGAGTCAGGAGGTCCACTTTAGCTCTGTGTGTGAGGATCTGCAGCGGCCCGTGAGTCAGGAGGTCCACTTTAGCTCTGTGTGTGAGGATCTGCAGCGGCCCGTGAGTCAGAAGGTCCACTTTAGCTCTGTGTGTGAGGATCTGCAGCGGCCCGTGAGTCAGAAGGTCCACTTTAGCTCTGTGTGTGAGGATCTGCAGCGGCCCGTGAGTCAGAAGGTCCACTTTAGCTCTGTGTGTGAGGATCTGCAGCGGCCCGTGAGTCAGAAGGTCCACGTTTATCACAAGCACTTTATGAATGAGGTGCGGTTTTACATCACTGCTACCAAGCAACCGTCACCACCGTCCTTCAGGTAAAATGTGTCCGGATCAAACCACTACAAGAATGAATAACACACATGACATTAGCGCCTCTGTGATGTCACATACAGACCCCTGAGGACCACTGGGAAAGTCTATGGTAAAGATAATATCATCTCATAATAACAAACATGTGCAGTAGGAGCCATCGGTCCAAAGGGAGCAGGACGACCACTGTCAAATGTTCAAGCAGTCGACTGGGTTATATACAGTGTGAAAATTAAAGCTGGGGTACTTAAATTTCATGCCACAAAACAATGAACTCACTAGCTTCTCGAAACAGTTTGGTCCGAGCACTGGGTTTCACATGTAAGTAGGGTTTAATATTTTTTCCCAAAAATGAGATCAAATCCCGGGAAAAGACGACGCATTTCCCGGCAATCCCTGGAAATGCCGGGAAACAGCTGTTTTTTGCAGTTGTTGTTTTTAGCCCAAGTAATGTATGATATCACTCAAATGAATAATATTGTAAAACTCCCAGGTAAGAAATGCTCAAACTCTCTGTTAGATGCTTTTATTCACAAGCTGACTCTAACTCTCACCCCGGCAAAACTCTCTACCATAATCAGAGCGCCCCCCTGTGGTAGTAAACAGACAACACAGAAGCCATACAAAGCTGCCATCTCCGCTAATATTTCACCTAGTTTTACTAAAGTAGCCGTCTCTAGTGTTTTCAGACGTTTTGTTTATGGGTTTTCTTCAGGAACTTTACGATGCTGAGATTCTAAATGTCTGTAATCCACTTGTCGAGTCTCACTTGGCGATCCGGTCACACAACATGCACTCTGCGTTTTCATTTTCAAGTCTTTTAAAATGCTCCCAAACAAAGCTGGCAGTGGACATCCTGCAGCAGATACATGGATCTATAATAATAACGAGATAGACACGCACTCCAATTTCTTTTAACATTAATTTCCCGGGAATCGGATAAAGTTTTGATCAGATTTCCCGGGAATCCCGCCCCTACTGGATTAACCCGAGAATGTAGCTTTAGCCTCTGATCGCGTCTCGACCTTCACGCTGCTAATGGAGTTGTTGTATGGCACAGTCCATACACAAGGCAACACAAAGCGCCTCACAACCCACATCATACCCAGCCAATCATACACATTAAAATCTACATATACATAAAAAACACAAGACATACTGTATCAAAAACAGAATAAAATCAAAAGTAATTAAAAACTTTCAGCAAATGGCCTTTTTTCTATCCTTGTTTTTCCCCAAATACAAACTCAGACTGTGATAAAAATATAAAAAGCCCAGGCAGGACACCAGCGAGCGACAACATGGTGTGTCTGGTTTGGGCTCTCCCTGGTCCGAGCAGGGGACTCGAACACATGCCATGTTCACTCCGGGCTCTTCTCTCTGCTCCAGCTCTTCTCTGCTCCGGGCTCTTCTCTGCTCCAGCTCTTCTCTGCTCCGGGCTCTTCTCTGCTCCAGCTCTTCTCTGCTCCGGGCTCTTCTCTCTGCTCCGGGCTCTTCTCTGCTCCAGCTCTTCTCTGCTCCGGGCTCTTCTCTGCTCCGGCTCTTCTCTGCTCCGGCTCTTCTCTCTGCTCCGGGCTCTTCTCTGCTCCGGGCTCTTCTCTCTGCTCCGGGCTCTTCTCTCTGCTCCGGGCTTTTCTCTCTGCTCCGGCTCTTCTCTCCTCCGGCTCTTCTCTCTGCTCCGGCTCTTCTCTCTCCTCCGGCTCTTCTCTCTGCTCCGGCTCTTCTCTGCTCCGGCTCTTCTCTCTGCTCCGGCTCTTCTCTCTCCTCCGGCTCTTCTCTCTGCTCCGGCTCTTCTCTCTGCTCCGGCTCTTCTCTCTCCTCCGGCTCTTCTCTCTGCTCCGGCTCTTCTCTCTGCTCCAGCTCTTCTCTCTGCTCCGGCTCTTCTCTCTGCTCCGGCTCTTCTCTCTCCTCCGGCTCTTCTCTCTGCTCCGGCTCTTCTCTCTGCTCCGGCTCTTCTCTCTCCTCCGGCTCTTCTCTCTGCTCCGGCTCTTCTCTCTGCTCCGGCTCTTCTCTCTCCTCCGGCTCTTCTCTCTGCTCCGGCCCTTCTCTCTGCTCCGGCTCTTCTCTCTGCTCCGGCTCTTCTCTCTGCTCCGGGCTCTTCTCTCTGCTCCGGGCTCTTCTCTCTGCTCCGGCTCTTCTCTCTGCTCCGGCTCTTCTCTGCTCCGGCTCTTCTCTGCTCCGGGCTCTTCTCTGCTCCGGCTCTTCTCTCTGCTCAGGCTCTTCTCTGCTCCGGCTCTTCTCTGCTCCGGGCTCTTCTCTGCTCCGGCACTTCTCTCTGCTCAGGGCCCTTCTCTCTGCTCCGGCACTTCTCTCTGCTAAGGGCTCTTCTCTCTGCTCCGGGCTCTTCTCTCTGCTCAGGCTCTTCTCTCTCCTCCGGCTCTTCTCTCTGCTCCGGGCTCTTCTCTCTGCTCCGGGCTCTTCTCTCTGCTCCGGGCTCTTCTCTCTGCTCCGGCTCTTCTCTCTGCTCCGGGCTCTTCTCTCTGCTCCGGGCTCTTCTCTCTGCTCCGGCTCTTCTCTCTGCTCCGGGCTCTTCTCTCTGCTCCGGCTCTTCTCTCTGCTCCGGGCTCTTCTCTCTGCTCCGGGCTCTTCTCTCTGCTCCGGCTCTTCTCTCTGCTCCGGGCTCTTCTCTCTGCTCCGGGCTCTTCTCTCTGCTCCGGGCTCTTCTCTCTGCTCCGGCTCTTCTCTCTGCTCCGGGCTCTTCTCTCTGCTCCGGGCTCTTCTCTCTGCTCCGGCTCTTCTCTCTGCTCCGGGCTCTTCTCTCTGCTCCGGCTCTTCTCTCTGCTCCGGGCTCTTCTCTCTGCTCCGGCTCTTCTCTCTGCTCCGGGCTCTTCTCTCTGCTCCGGCTCGTCCTGACGTTGGAAAGTGGAAGAGGCGTCTACATAATTCAGGCGGTACAGCTTTGCCTGGGAGCGTCCGGGCCGATCCCATCCATTATCTATGAGGACTTTTGCAGAAAACAAATGTCTCCGTACAACACCGGCTCTAACCGAAACCTAAATGGCAAAAACAAACATGAGATTATAATCCCAGTGGAAAACCGCTCTACGGAATATCTTACATTACAGCGTGGGAATATTTATAAGGGGAAAAAGCCGTGCTCTGTCACATATTTCTCCAGGCTTGGCTCCTCCCCCTGACCCACTAACCACACGTTTAGAAATTATCTCTCTCTTCACACTGGGCTCAGTTTTCACTGCCACATGAACATTATAATCCAGATTATGTGTACAAATGTAAATAATCTGTACTTCTGGCTAATATTAATCAGTGTATACCCAGGCATGTGGTGTTTCCTGTGAATAATGATCACTACAGAGAGGAGTTTGGGGTTTTACAGTTTCCCCATTAGGTTTCCAGTTCGAAACTCAGCCACCAGGGGGCACTGTACGCCTCATGTCATACAGATGTTATATGCTTTATAACAGAGGTTCTTTATTATGCTAAAGCTAGAGGTTTTATTCTAGCTTCTTTATTATGCTAAAGCTAGAGATTATTTATTTATTTAATCTTTAATCTGCATTTCAGACACACAAAGGGTCCATATAAAACAAACACAACAAGAAAAGAGACGCACAAAAGACACAAACCTTCAATGTTTACACAATTCTGTGTCCTGTGCCTAAAACTGCTCTGTACATGAGGAGTAAAATAATAATAATAAATCAGTTTCATACAACGCTTTTCTAGACTCTCAAAGTCTCTTCACATTATTATTCTCTCTCTCCAAACACAGTGGTGATAAACTACTGTAGCCACAGCTGCCCTGGGGCACACTGACAGAAGCGAGGCCCCTCCCACCACCACCAACCATTCACACACACACCAGACTCATTTGATTTGTTTAATGAACTTATAAATAACATTTCCGATCACAGATTTCAGACTCGGGACATATTTAAGAACAAACAAAGACCTGGCACTGGTCCAAAGTCTGAGAGCATTTTAATCTTATGTCACAAACTCAGATGAACAAGTTTGTCTTTTTAAAATGAGGTTTAATGAATCCACTCTAAAAACAAAACCATATGACACCGCAGTAAATTAGCCATTTAAAAACACATACTATCAGTGACATGTTAGTCCCATATGAACCAGCCCGGACTCTGAGGAGCACAGGGACTGGACTCCTGCTGGGACTCTGAGGAGCACAGGGACTGGCCTCCTGCTGGGACTCTGAGGAGCACAGGGACTGGACTCCTGCTGGGACTCTGAGGAGCACAGGGACTGGCCTCCTGCTGGGACTCTGAGGAGCACAGGGACTGGCCTCCTGCTGGGACTCTGAGGAGCACAGGGACTGGCCTCCTGCTGGGACTCTGATGAGCACAGGGACTGGCCTCCTCCTGAGACTCTGAGGAGCACAGGGACTGGCCTCCTGCTGGGACTCTGAGGAGCACAGGAACTGGCCTCATGTGAGCGAGTTGGGGGCGGGGCTAAACATTGAAACTGATAAAAACCTGCAAAAACAGGTTTAGAAAACTGGACTAATTTATAAAAGCTTTGTTCTAGCAGCTTCTAACGTAGAACAGGTCTAGAGGCGACCGCTCCGTCTCTGTGTGGAGTGAGAGACATCCCTCGTTCCAATGCAATCTTTGTCTTGTCTCTTTCCAGATTGCAGTGGTACCATAAACCCCTCAGCCTCACAGTGACTCATGGTCCTTCTTTATGATAGTAACAAAGTGTAGCAATGGTCATACAAAAAAAAAATCAATTTAGGAACTATCGTAAAACATGGTTGGCTCCTTCTGACAACAGCACAGATCTGTGGTGTTGGTTTTTCCAGGAGCTATGATAAGAGAGAGACCAGAGAGAGACCAGAGAGAGACCAGAGAGACCAGAGAGAGAGCAGAGAGAGACCAGAGAGACCAGAGAGAGAGCAGAGAGAGACCAGAGACAGAGACCAGAGAGAGAGCAGAGAGAGACCAGAGAGAGACCAGAGGGAGACCAGAGAAAGACCAGAGAGAGAGACCAGAGAGAGAGCAGAGAGAGAACCAGAGAGAGACCAGAGGGAGACCAGAGAAAGACCAGAGAGAGAGACCAGAGAGAGAGCAGAGAGAGACCAGAGACAGAGACCAGAGAGAGAGCAGAGAGACCAGAGAGAGAGCAGAGAGAGACCAGAGAGAGACCAGAGACAGAGACCAGAGAGAGAGCAGAGAGACCAGAGAGAGAGCAGAGAGAGAGAGCAGAGAGAGACCAGAGAGAGAGACCAGAGAGAGAGCAGAGAGAGACCAGAGAGAGACCAGAGAGAGACCAGAGAGAGACCAGAGAGAGACCAGAGAGAGACCAGAGAGAGAGACCAGAGAGAGAGCAGAGAGAGACCAGAGAGAGACCAGAGAGAGACCAGAGAGAGACCAGAGAGAGAGACCAGAGAGAGAGCAGAGAGAGACCAGAGACAGAGACCAGAGAGAGAGCAGAGAGACCAGAGAGAGAGCAGAGAGAGACCAGAGAGAGACCAGAGACAGAGACCAGAGAGAGAGCAGAGAGACCAGAGAGAGAGCAGAGAGAGACCAGAGAGAGACCAGAGAGAGAGACCAGAGAGAGAGCAGAGAGAGACCAGAGAGAGAGCAGAGAGACCAGAGAGAGAGCAGAGAGAGACCAGAGAGAGAGACCAGAGAGAGAGCAGAGAGAGACCAGAGAGAGACCAGAGAGAGACCAGAGAGAGAGACCAGAGAGAGACCAGAGAGAGACCAGAGAGAGAGACCAGAGAGAGAGCATAGAGAGACCAGAGAGAGAGACCAGAGAGAGACCAGAGAGAGACCAGAGAGAGAGACCAGAGAGAGACCAGAGAGAGACCAGAGAGAGACCAGAGAGAGAGACCAGAGAGAGACCAGAGAGAGACCAGAGAGAGACCAGAGAGAGACCAGAGAGAGACCAGAGAGAGACCAGAGAAACAGAGAACAGTGACTCAAGGGTCACACAAAAAAATAAAAAATAAAATCAATTTAGGAACAATCATAAAACATGTTTGTATCTTTCTGACAACAGCACAAATCTGTGGTGTTGGTTTTTCCAGGAGCAATGAGAAAGCTGATTGCGAGGGAGCGGTAATGAGATTGGACAAACACAAAGCAGAGAGAGATAGAGAGAGAGAGAGAGAGAGAGCAAGAGAGAAAGAGAGAGAGAGAGAGAGAGAGACAGACAGAGAGACAGAAAGAGAGACAGAAAGAGAGAGAGAGAAAGAGAGAAGAAGCCGTGAATGAAAGATAAAAACGGTCATGGTCGTTCGGGGAGAGAGCGGCATCTCCAGGAAACAGGCAGGACCAGGATCAGATTCTGGGTTATCTGTGTCAGGTCGGACAGAGAGAGAGCGGAGGAAGAGGAGACAGAGAGAGAGGCTTCAAAGCTTCATCAAAGATCGACAGGGGGGAAGGAGACGGGGTTCAGGGGTGGGGGCCGGGGACGGGGGCCAGGGGTGTCACACGGTGGGAGACGGCAGATATCGTTTTATCTGCATGAAATCAGGTGAAATAGTTCAAATTCTCACCTCCAAACTGGCCTTTTCTGACAATGAAAAGATGGATCCAAGAAGTACTGACTGCTATGGGTGGGATTGGTTTGCCATGTTTGGTCCACAATACAAATATTATTGATTATTATATGACTTGGATCGTTCTGGGCTCTGATTGGCTGATTACCGGTCTGATATTTTCCCATCTCGGACCGTTACCATGACGATCGGTCCACAGCACGTGTCACATTTGATATCTTTCTCAGTGAATTCTATCATCAGGACGAGTTGGAAGAGCCAGAGGAAGTAATAACAGCAAATAACGACCAAAACACAACTCCAACAGTCGAAAAGAGATCGACAACTTGGTTACAGACCAGAAAGGTAAAACCAGGACCAGGAAAACCAAGTGGGACATGAACATCACAGATATGTAAAAAGCATTGGTAAAGACACAGACTGAGAACTTACAGCGGGCGCCTCAATCCTCTGTTCTTCATGTCACAGTTTGACACTTTGGTCAAATGTGTTTTTAGTTCAAACCCATCGATATTTGGATAAATTAAAAATAGTCATATAATAAAACATGTATTAACCTCGCCGCGGCTCGCTCTGTTTGATATTTCTCTGTACAGACCTCACGCTCGGTTAATAAGCCGTTAATATTGTTTTTACGTCTGTACTTTTAGTTGTTTTGCCATATTTTTGTTGTTTGAGGTTTCCTGGAAATGTAAGCTGCACTACAAATAAAATGTATTATTATTATTATTATTGTTATACTCTCATAATAATAAACTGCTCTTTTCCAATCCTTCTTTAACTGATAACAGTCGTTCAGAGATATTTGAGTTTCTAAATTACTTTTCCAGCCTCTAAATCTTGTTATTGTTTTCATTTCGATGTCCCGCCCTCCACCGTTTCACCAATCAGAAAGTCTGTGATCCGGGCGCCAGAACTCACCGTGTGGAGCTAATCTCACTGGTAAAGTACCATGTGGAGCTAATCTCACTGGTAAAGTACCATGTGGCGCAGAACTAAAAAAGGTCTCGTTATGATTCTCAAATCAATAACGACAAAACAAGGAATAAAACCAAGATTTCTATCTTTGTGAAAAAGGTGTTGGTTATAGATTTGTTGTTGACAAAACTCTTGTCTATTCAGCTGTTATGGTCCCAGCTGGATTCGTCTGCATATCTGGCAACCTGAGTCAGGGAGAGTGGGAGAGGCTGCAGTACCACTTTTGGCCACATGTTTACACTCTGCTTCTTTAAACTAGGACCAGTGATGAAAGTTATTGCCGCGGCTGTTTCTCAGGGGAGATAAATGAAGCGCTCCTCTGTAATAAGCCGTGAGTGGCGGTGGATGTGGCAGCCCGGTCCTTCTGGAAGAATCTAAGGTCAGGCGGAGGTTGCCATCAGCGGCGGCTCTTTGGCAATTACAGCAAAGATCTAATAACACGATGACGTTTCGGAGTGTGATGTGT